GCTCTCAGTGCTGTTATGATATGGATCCGCTTCTCTGGTAAATGAGTGGGATGTTCCTGAGAATAGATTTGCTGTCACCGGATGGGTGCGCCTGGGCACGATTACATCCAGCAAAGCTGCATTAATAGAGAGAGAAAGAGGAAAGTGCATTGCTTCATGCTGTAGGAGACACCGTTTATTGTCTTTGAATAACACACCAGACACGATCTGACACGTCTGTAATGAAAGCAGCATACGGAGGTGCTACAGTGTGTGTGTACTTCTAATGAACCGTGTAATCTGGGGAAAAAAATCATCTGAATCCCACAGACTTCTGACTGTCTTTCCTAGGAGTCGACTTGTTGCATTCTAAAAATATCTAAGAAAGAGTTTGCATATGTTCTTTTTTGTGTCTCATATTTGATCTTCAGGCTTTTATGGCTCATATAGTCTGATACAGTGAGAATATGGAGAAAAAATATATAAATTTTAATCAGAGACTCAAACTGAGCAAAAACATGAATTTGCTGCAGATGCTGATATTAATATGATGAAATTCTGATGTTTGTCATGTAAATCAATGAGATCAGTAGAGCAGATACTGACATAAAATGATCTAAATATCAGTCGTGGCTCTATATCTCCAGTAATCTGTCTCAGTAAGATGAGATGTAAATGCTCCAAACATATAATGCAGTGATTGAGAGCTGAAGAAATAAAGGCTCCTCAGAAGATGTGAGATGTTCTGGAGGCTTGTGAAGATCATTCCACCGCTGAGGAACAGTGAAAGTAAAGCTTCTGGAAACAAACGCTCCTCAAAAGATCCTGAGGATCAGATTTGAGACTCTAAAACATGATTGATGGAGAATCAAGTAAAGCTGAGCTGCTTCAGTCCAGTAAGAGTTCATCTGGAGATATTACTGCAGTTATTCTGATGTTTACTTGATCAAAATCAGTCAAGATCTGACAGCAGAAAGACACGTGAAGCAGCAGCTGAAGCTGGACATTTGTACAATTACACTAAAAGAGCTTTGACTGGATAAAAAAACTCTAAACTCTCAATCAGAGACAGAAGGTGTGGAATAGATTGAGTACGACAGCCTTGCATATCAAATATGATGCAAGTTCTATATTAAGATATTTGTTATAAGCACTATGATGATTCTATTAGTGTATATAGACCAATTTGGAGTAGACGTCACAGTTACGTCACTTGCAGCTGTGCGTGCATAGTGGTGGCAGAAAAACACTGGGAGCAAGTGGAGGGAAACGGGTAAAATCCATGGAATAAGAGAAAAAATGTATTGTTGTGCCTTTGGATGTCAGAATCGGAATGCAAATAATTTTTATATAACACTGTCGTCAAAGACGCCATTTGAAGCTAAACGCAGACGTTTAAATGGACATACTATGGATGAAAA